CAGTGACCCCGAAGGAATTCACTCATAAATAGTTTTTAGTGAGGGAAGATAAGACGAGTACAAAAGATTAATGAGCTCAAAATCAGATTTCATGGTGTATTGGGTAAACGTGAGAAGGAGGTTTGGATTCTGAAAGAAGATAGTTAAAATTTTGAACATTTTGAAAGACATATTTTTTAAGATACTTTTTAGAATTACAAATACAAGGTCATAATAGGGAATAATAAAGAATCGGAAATCACCATTATTGATTTTCCTGTTATGAATCCGAGTGACTTTGTAGATTTAATCAAGTTGTTTAACTCAATGGATCAAAAAACCATTTTTGTCATAAATCAAAACATCTATTCCATTGCCTATTGTAACGCCCATGTTTCTGGGCTAAGCATTAAAGACGAGGTAATAGTCTAGGTCAACTATTGTAACGTGTGTTTAAGTAATAAGAATGAATTATGTGAATTTATGTGCCTTATATTTAATGACGATGATATAATAAATTAAGGATAAAAATAAGAGTCGAAAGTAAAATGTTAGATATAGCCGATATCTATAAAGAAATTTGTAGTGGTTGGAACAAGGATTCCGGAGATATAAAGAATACCAAAATCCGAATTATAACGAAGAAGTTATGACCTGTCGAAGTTTCGCGATAGAACCAGCACGACGCTGTGTGACATAAAAAGTGAATTTACGATAAAGTGCTTTTTAGCATTAGTGATCTAAACGAAAGTCGTAGTGTTCATTAAATCGAGAGCGTGCATAAAAAAACGCCCAAATCTGACTTCGTATGAGGAGGTTATGATTTTTTAAAGTTTCGGCTTAGTAGTATGCAGCCCGAAACTCGAATTTTAGATCGAGTGATTTTTTAGCCGAAACAACCTAAACTAAAATCGAAGATTTTGTTGATAGTAGTTCAACGGTAAAAAGACAGATGAAAACGGACGTCAGATGAAGAAGTTATGAATTTTTAACGGATTTTTCCTGTCCCGACCTGTTAAAAATATAACTTTAAAATTTAAATCAAAATTAGTCGACGGAGTCTAAACAAAAGTTGTAGAGCACGGTCTCACCTACGCGTAGATATAAAGAACGTCAAAAACGGAGCTCGTATGCGAAAGTTACGAATTTTTGAAGTTTGAAAATTCGGAGTACGCCCAGCGTACTCGTGTAAGTGTTCTGGAGTCCGTCACCCTCCCTACTGCTTCGCATGAGAGCCACGTGTCGTAGCCTTGACGCATCCGATATGATCCCTTAGTACGCATAGCGTACTCTATGTACGCCCAGCGTACTGGCTGAAGAAGGAGTACGCCCAACGTACTCTAAATTTACGCCCCGCGTAATTCGAGCTTTCAGCCCCTATAAATAGCGGACGATGCCAACCGATATTGGGGTTAAAAAATTTCATTCTCTCACCCTATATTTTCTTGAATGTTGCAATAAATACCCCCAAGCCTATTATAACACCCCTAGCACCCGAAGCAAGCCCGAAGCCCCGAAGTCTCCAAGAAAAAGAGTTTGTCGAGTCGAAACTCTGCCCGCGTGGAGCCCGGTTTTTGGGAAAACATCCCGTTTTTATCGGAAACAATCGTTTTAAGAAACGAAGTGCTGCCCGATTATCGTTAAATAAGGTGAGTGTGTAATCACTTTCATCTTACACATAGATATGAAGTATTTTATATAAAATACGTGCTATGTGTATATATGTTGTTTGTTTATTTAAGATGGATGTTGAATGAATGTTTTATACAGGTTTTGAACTGTATATGTATTTTATATCTACAAATATGTTAGGTAAAACATGGGTAGATGAAATAGTTGGTGTGTGATGAAAAAAAATAAGTTGGATGATGAGAAGAAAGATGAACATTGGCAGCTATGGACTTAGTGCTTGTTGTATAAATCTCGGGCAACGATGGACTTCGTGCCTATTCCTCAGGATAATGAATAGATGTTGGTAGCTATGGATTTAGTACCGTATAGAGGAACATTGGTAGCTATGGATTTAGTACCTTGGCAGGTATGGACTTAGTGCTTGTTGTATAAATCTCGGGCAACGATGAACTTCGTGCCTATTCCTTAGGATAATTCTTAGGAATGAATGAATGGAGGACAGATGATTCTTAAGATCTTTATGAATAAAGAAGATAACAAGGATGGGAAATTTGGTTGATTGTTTGAAGTTTAAACATAATAAATTTATTTATTGTGGGTTGAAAACCCTATATGCTCACCAGGCTCCCAAGCCTGACCCACTCAGCTTTTTATATTACAGGTAGTGGAACAAGAGCATAGTTGGACGATGACGAGGATTTTTGGATTATAGGCCAGTAGATGTAAATATCTGTTGTAAAGCTTATAATATACTGTTTATGCTTTTGGTTTGTATCGGAACATGACATCCCGAGGTTTTGAAATATAATGAAAATAAACATTTCTTTAAGAAATGTTTTGATAAATTTTTATCATGTTTTGTTTTAGGGACAAATTCTGCAACATCTTTTAAAAAGATTACTCTGATTTTATTTTAAAAAACATAAACTAAATCGGTCTTTTCTGGCCGATAAATTTGGGGATGTCACACCTATAAGCATGTGCGATATTTCATGGCATTTTACTATGCTCAAATGGAATTATCAGATATTGATTTGGCGAAGGAATTCAAAAGAGTAGTAGTTGCCCCAGTGTTAGGGTTTAAAAGGGTTAAACCATTGAGAATAGTTTACCTGATCAAGAGGAAAGATGGTCCGATTTCTAAAGTGTTAAGGTTTAAAAGGATTGTGGTGGAGATCCGGATTTCCAATGGATCGCGTAGGTTTGCTTTCCAAACCGATATTTCTACCATATTCTTGGGTTACAAGAAATCCAGTCTAGGAGAATCCGAAGGGACACTTACAAATCTAGGCAAAGAAACGTAAGCCAAATTTGTAGAGAAATTTTGAGTTCATTTGAGAAGAAAGAGAGCTGAGAAGGATATATATATATATATATATATATATATATATATATATATATATATATATATATCTCACGACTCAAAGAGAAGAGTCATATTTATACATGACAAGTATAGTATCTGTCTTCTAAATTAGTTAAGTATATTCCGAAATTAATGGCATAATCAATGGAATGGTTTCCAAAAATGACAATCGCTAGGGCCTTTCCCTCTTGGAACCTGCTAGGGGATCTGCCCCTAGGACCCTTGACCCCCACCATTTTGTCGTGTCGGCTTATAATTTGATCTTATATATGCGTGCACTTCACACACATCAAACATATAATATGAGCTCATTAGCTTACATATTAGTTGCAATTACACAAAATGTCTGATGACATTAAAATCACCAACATAAAGCTTTCTTCAAAGTCTATGATAAAGAGAGATTTCCAATTACTACAATTTTGAATCTCATTGTTCATGTTACTACATGCGACATTAATTATGAGATGGACATAATAGAGATCATTGATCATTTGACTCAGTGGTTGGTTGTGCTTAAAGCCTTGTGCCTTGTTGAGTATTGCTCATTTTTGTAGATGACTTCAGATTATAAACTTGTTAGAAAGGGGAGAATGTTGAGTTCAAAGTATTTAGTCGTGACAGTCTGAAACCAAATGAAGACTCTGAAGTATCTTTTGTAGAAGTTGTGCCGAAGTGAAGGCTGAGAGTTTTGATAGCGATGTAATTTTTAGAGGATATTGTGCTCATTTGGTATATGGTTATTACCTAGCTAGCATAGGTTAGTGTGAGATATCAGTTATTAATCACGTGTGTACGCCTACGTGTCTGTGATTTGCTACTCTATCTCAATTGTATATATATATATATATATATATATATATATATATATATATATATATATATAGTTGTGTTAGTCATTGTAATAGGTTTAAGTTTTTCCAGATCTTGTTTATATCTACTTTAATATTTAAGCATTTAATTTGTAACCTTTACGAGTGATTAATCAAAGAGTTTCTCGTTTGTTTAGACAATTGTTCATCTTATAATACTGCATTGTGTGATTCATTATCTTGTTAATTCTATCAAATTTTAGAGAATTAGTTTTATTGAACTTGGTCAACAACTCATTTTATATTAGTGTTGTTTGTGCCAAACGCTCAGTAAAAGGATATTGTTGTGTCAAATGCTCAGTAAAATGATATTGTTATGTGTCTCTTGTTTGAGGTATCAAACACAATCTTTGCTAATATTTTTTACTAGATGACAAGCTTTAAACTTTTAAGCCTTTTACGGACATTCATGGTTTATTTTATTTTATTTTATTTATTAATGTTATCTTAAAATATTTAATGTTTTATATCTTCCACTCATTATCTCAACACGTGTGGAGTTTTAAATGTGGGGAAATAAAAATACAAAAAACAAGAAAAACAAGAACACGAGAAAAGAGCGTGACTTAAAATATAACGGCCGTTGACACCAGGAGAATATTCTTTTGTTCGAGTAAATCAACATAGTACCCCCTATACTATTGCTTTATTTCAACAAGACCCATTGAATATTTTATAACTCATTAATTAAGTTCTTAAAGTTTTACACTCATATCCTTAAAATAAAAAGGATAACATTACTACATTACAGGTCTTCAAATACTAAAATTTATAAGACTCCGACAAGACCTTTCCCATGATTATTAAATTATGACATGAAGTATGGATTGTTTTCTTACAAAATTCAGCTAATTATATACAGAATAATGTATTATTAAAGATAGCTTATCATTATCCGGTTCGAATTTTCAATTATGTCAGTACTTACTGATTTTTGCCAACCCCTTATTAGTTGGAGGGTCTTTGTTGCAATAATACAATTGTATGTGATTGTTTTATATGCCCGTCTTGCTCCGTCGGGTCATGGAAACCCAGGTGCATTTTCGTCATTTCGGTCACATGACAGATAAAACGAGACAACAAACGATCCGCCGTGGATACTTAAAAGACCCCACCGCCAAATCGCGTTCGTCCAATTTCCTCGATCTCACCGTTTAATATTTTCCATCGGTGAACAACATATGTACGTTATACAATTCAACAACTCAGCCTCAGCTCAGACAGAATAACCAGAATAAATTCTCTCTCATCTATTGCTGTTTCCATGTCTTTTCAACCGCCAACTGTGTGTGCGTGAGGTTTTTTGAGAAGAGATTTGGTGGAATTAGTTGAATTGTGCTCGATTTTGTTGATTCGTAGTTGCGAATTTTGACGGAGTAATGGATGACGGAAAGAAGTCGGAGAATAGCGTCGTTAATGGCTTCTCTCCGGTGTCTTCGACTCCAGTTTTCTGGAAATCTCGGAAGAGATCAGGTATTTCGAGTTTGAATACGAGTATGCGTTTTTGTGAATCATTTTAAGCATAATTGAATAATTTTGTGATTGATTTCTCTTCTTCTTATTATTGTTGTTGATTCAATTACGTACGGTAGTAGATCTGTATATCCACATGTTGTAGCAGTTTGAATATTTGATGATCATGATGTTCGGAGCAAATTTAGATAGGGAGTAGGTGGCCAATTTTTCAAAATGTTATTGTAAAATGGGTAAATAGTTGTGGATAATTTAATTACGAAATAGATTCATAGTTCTAGTTTTGACAGATATCATCTGGTTACTGCTGATCCTTCAGGGTTATGAATTAAATTGATTTAGCAGTTTCTGGTTGCAGCGAGTGCGAAGAATTTGTACAAGGACATTGTAGATGAAGGTGATAAGACTTCAGAGAAGAAGGAAGAGCAGGTCACAACAACAGATGAAAAAATGGAAGAATCATTATCAACTTCTCCCACAGTTCTGTCTGAAAAACGTAAGGCTCTTTTTGAACCTCTGGAACCAATAATGGATTTGAGTGGTAGAAGACCTTCAGCTGAATCCTTACTCCCTCCACCGGACTTTGACACCGCCAGTTACCCTCGTGGATGGCTAATTGGGAAGAAACGGAAGCTTGTAAATGTGGATGTTGTTGAAAGCATGCGCAGGATTGCAGTACAGGAAATGAACAGAAAGGTATTGTACCTTTGCACTCTTTCTTTTTATAATTGGATTTTAAAATATAATTAGAAGAAAATAATCCTGCTCAACTTTACCCCCTTTGCCTTTTTAGTCTAAAACTGTACTTGAATATAATAAAAATCATAAGAATCCTACTGAAGATAAACGGATAGCAACTCACCATTTTTTCTTATTGATATCCCGTTTATATGTATGCGAAAGAAGAGCAGGCCACATGTCGGACTTTAAATGTGGTCCCTGTTGCTATTATGAGATATAAAACCTTGTACCTTGTGTATATTTTTACGAAAATGGTTAAATGCAAGTAACAATAACATATACACATACAAGCTAGCTCAAAAACTATGTTATTTCAATAACAATAACTATGCAAGAAACAATAACTGAATTAACCTTGTACTAAGATACCATAAGCTACTTCTGCAATAATCTTAAAAAATAAGCTTGCTTATAAAAACGCCAACAATAGCCTTATTAACTAGCTATCATAACATTCTAATTTCATTTTCTCCTAATACAACATAGTACTTTGAAAATATATCCAATTATAGCAACATCATCAAAAATACAATACATATAGATATATGCTATGGAATCTAACTGTGAATACAGGACAGAGAGATTAACGGACTTAACGAGCAGTTAGAAGAAGATGCACGTGTCCTTGAACACCTTCAACTCCAACTGCTTGATGAACGAAGCAAACGCGCAGATGTTGAACGACAGAATACAATGCTGCAGAACCAGGTGGATATGCTCATGAATATGCTTCAGGAGCCTGAAAATATCGATGATGAAGATGTCTCACAAGAACCATAAGTAAGTCTGTTCCCTTTTTTTCTTTTTTTAATTCCCGCGTCATTTTGTAAAGCTAGCATTATACGGATCCATCATGCATCCTCTTTTGTTTTATTTTGTGTTGTTTTCGTCAAATATTGTTTATATAGTTACTCGTTAGTATAAGTATCTTGGAGAAGAAAATGAACTACTGCACCAAATGTATCATATCATATAACATGAATATAATTATATTTTATTTATTTGTTTCTCGAATTGAGACAACTACTGTGTACCAAAGGAGTCCTTGTTCCACAATACAATTTGTTTTGTTCCACGCAACAAATGTGTCGTTAGCGAGTTGTATTTTTATTTATTTAATAAATTTATTACAATAAAAAATAACGTTTTCATGTTAATTTTGTAAAATTATAAAACTATATGCATTTTTGTTGCAAGGGTGTTTTTCTCGTTGTTAGCTAATTTCATCATATTCATTCCTTGTTTCCTACTTACCAAACAAAACAGATTATATCAAAAACAGAATATTTTATTCAGCATAAAGTCGTTCAGAAATGATAATTTTTATCATTCTAACACATTTAATCGTTAACCTAATCAAACAACATCTTTTATGTTCATAACCAAATTTATCTAGAGTAATGTTATTATCTTATTTATCTTCTCATCCATAACCAAATTCATTCAGCTTTAAATCATTCAGTTTTTATCAAACAATCCCTTTGTATTATCCTAAGTATTATTATTATTATTATTTTTTAATATCATCATAATTTCTATATTTAGTCTTGTTGGTACGAAACTAAACTCAAACTGAAATTAAACGTACAAATTGAGTTTTAGCTTTATAAATTCAAGTGCAAATCAATTTCTTTTTTGCTTACAGCTGAATATTATTTAAAAAAAAAAAAAAAAAAACCTTTGGCAAGGAGCTAGACATGAAAAGAAATTACACAGAAAGTAAAGAGTTTTGGAGCATTAGTGACAATAACTTCAAAATCATCTCATTCGATCCAAGAATTGAATATCTTGAAAGAATCCACCTTAACTTGTTTAACCATAACATTGATATGAGAGCGTTCTCTCCAAAGCAATATACACGTGGTTACTGAATGTGATGTAAGATATTGCTACACAACAAGTTTGTCCTAATTTTCATATTAAGTCTTGTTGGTAAAAAAACTAAACTCAATTGTGAATCTGATGCAAATCAATTTCGTTTTCTGTTTGGTTTAAAAGTTTAAAATAATGCAAAAAAGAAAACGATGTAACATATTTTTCTACATAATAAGTTCATACACCAATTCATTAAAATGATGTTTGGTCCGTACATTAAAAAACATGGTGTTACTAATCTTCACTTATAGTTGAAGATGATACACCAAGAGAGGAAGCGAAAGTTGCAGTGGTATCACCGTTTAAATACCTTTTGAGTCTATCTAAATCGTCTGCAGCATCAAGCATTGTCGGTCTATTCGATGGTGAATCTTGTGTGCACAAAATACCCATCTCCAACAACTCTCCAATGGCAACATCCCACATTTTCTTCACATCAGCTAATTGGTCTTTTGTGGTTTGTACCAAAGACGAGTCGACTACATGTTCCATATGTTGATGGTAGTGGCTTTTGACCCATCTGTGAAGGCTAAGCCCTTCGGAGAACATATCATCTGTTGGTCTCTTTCGTGTCACCATCTCGAGAACCAGGATCCCAAAACTGTAAACATCTCCTTTGGTTGATGTGTTTGATCCATAACCATACTCTATATACAAGAAAGTATACAATGTAATGTTTCACAATTCATGTTTAGTGAACAAAATGTTACCATTTTCTCTCTCTTTCAAAAAAAATGTTACCATTTTCTCATTATTAATCAATACAACATATAGTTTTAATAACTTTGTAACAAAATTATCATTTCTTAGTTTACATAATATGATAGATAATGATAAGTTTCTTATATCAAAAAAATTAAAAATTAAAAAACTATGGTATGTGAACTAACTGAAAAATGATAAAATGAGATCCAACAATTATACTTTTGATATATAATGAGAAATAGAAGCAATGCGTACATTCATAATTGTCTGCCTATATTATGATTTCTTGTTTTTATAACATCAAAGTTTTACTAATTTTAACCAAATATCAAAATCTTATCTAGTTGTCAATTTTTTTTTATAGATAACCAAGATTTAACAAATGATATAACAATGAGTGAGAAGGTAAACGGGCAACAAGTTACGTCGTTAAGGCTATAATAAAACTAATTTTTTTTTTTGAAGACATAAATTTAGGGAATATAACATTATCAACTTTAAAAAAAAATTAATTAAGTTTATATTCAAGGAAGGATACAATTCTTTCAATGTCAAAATAAAAAATAAAATAAAAACCTAATATCTTTAAAACAAATTAAAAAATAGTGTTAAAAATCAGAAAAAAAAAGTTAAATAAAAACATAATGTATTATTTGTTATTGAACAAAAAATAAAATGATGAAAACATATGTCATATGTGCCATTGCTATCTACCCGTTAACTAATGGTAATATGGATGATAAATTCAAACCTGGTGCAATGTAGCCGAACGATCCACAAAGCATATTTGCTGTGGAATTCCCCAGATTCTCAGTGCCACCTCCAATCGTCATAACTAATTTTGCGATCCCAAAATCAGAGACCAAAGCTGTCATATCATCGTTAAGAAGAACATTGCTAGGTTTCAGATCACAATGTATGACCTTAACCGGAGAATGATGGTGGAGATAAGCCATTCCTTCAGCAATATCACTGCAGATGTTCACTCTTTGAATCAGATTTAGATCTGATGACCCTGAACCTAATCCTCCTGAATCTGGATATAGACGACTATCCAAGCTTCCATTCGCCATAAATGGAAGAACAAGAGCTTTGAAATCAGGTAAACTACACGCGGTTATGATTCTTATCAAGTTTCTGTGACGAATTCTTTTCAGAACTTGACATTCTCTGTTGAAAGTCTTGGTGGAATTACCTGTTTGTAATTGAAGCACTTTGACTGCTATTTGTGTTCCATCTGGTAGCGATCCTCTGTATACTCGACCATAACCTCCAGATCCGAGTAGTCTCTGCTCATCGAATCCGTTTGTAGCTTCCGCGAGCTCCTTATACGTGATTCGTGGAAAATTACGTGTCAATTCCGGTTGAGAGTTCGTCTCCGGCCGAGTCGCGTTAGAACTCACGATTTGTTTCAGGTAACGCCATCCAATCACACAGCAGATTACTGTTAGCAGGACTGATATTATTATTCCGACATAGAATACTGCTAAAAACCCCGGCGAACGCAAGTATTTTTTCTTGTGAGAGCAAAACTGAAGGCCGGAAATGTGGCCACAAAGATGTGGATTTCCAAGAAAGGAAAGACTAGTGACCGAATTGAAAACGCCACCAGTAGGAACTCTACCCTGGAAGTCATTGAAGGAAAGATTCAAGAGCTTAAGGGTATGTATGTTGCTTAAACCTATTGGAATCTTTCCTGATAGCATATTATTAGATACATCAAACCCTACAAGACGAGTAAGCATGCTTAAAGACTCTGGAAGCTGGCCTTGAAATGAATTGCTTGACAAATCTAGAAACTCTAAGTCCATGTAACTCGAAATTTTAGGAAAGATGGTTCCAGTGAGGTTATTGAAAGAAAGATTGATCTCTTTGATGGTTTCTAGCATGCTGAGTTGACTCGGTAGTGGTCCTTCAAGGTGATTATGAGAAAGATTCAAGAATATCCCGTTTCGTGTCATGGCTGATAATAATCCAGGAGGTATGTGTCCGGTTAATCTGTTATGGGACAAATCTAGATTGGCTAGAACAACACAGTTTCCTAAACTTGAAGGTATGTTCCCTGAAAGCTGGTTATTATTAAGGGAAAGCGACCCCAAACCAGTTAACTTCCCAAAGCTTTCAGGGATTTTACCTGTGAATTTGTTATATGACAATTCAAGTTTACCCAAATGAAAACACTCTCCAATTGCTTCTGGGATTTCACCTGTGAAAGCATTGTGAGATAACAGAAGCTGTTCTAGTGCTGGTAACCGATTAAGCTCTGGTGCTATTGTTCCATTGAGATGATTTATTGTCAAATTCAACCACATTAGCTTTGAAAGATTAGCAAAAACGGGTGGAACTGAACCATAGATTCTGTTTTCTTGTAGCAACATTTGACTGAAATTAACACCAAGTCTTCCAATGGAATCAGGTAGGGTTCCTCCTAACCCCATACCTGCTAACTCGAGCTCCTGTAGCATACTACAGTTAGAAAGTGCAGTAAAAAAGACATCAAGATTGCTGTTTTGATCATGGCTGACCATATGGTTATATGATAAATGAAGATACAGAAGTTGGGTGAGCTTTGAGACTAGCTTTGATGGAAGTTCACCAGAAAGATAATTGTACTCCACATCAAGATTGAACATATTTGAAGCATTTGACAAAGAGAAAGGGATTTCACCAATGAACTGATTGTTATACAAATTGAGATTCCAAAGATTCAAACAATCCCCGATACTTTCGGGGATTTTCCCAACTAGGAAATTATGTGAGAGGTCAAGATTCGACAAGACAGTGCAGTTTGAGAACAAAGAAGGTGGGATTTCTCCTTGTAATCTGTTGTCTTTGAGACTAAGAATAGTGAGGTTTGATAAAGAAGATAAAGATTCTGGAATCCGACCTTCTATACTATTGAATTCCAGAAGAAGGTTTCTAAAATGGCGTAAGGATGAGATTTCATCCGGGATTTTTCCATAGAAATTGTTTCCAGAAAGATTTATTGTTCGAAGGGCTGTGAGGTTTGAGATAACAGGTGAAAACGGGCCCACAAGTCCAAATCCAACAAGCTCGATTATCCTCACACGATGACCATTATTGCAATGGATTCCTTTAAAACTGCAAACTTCGGTAGTCTCATTCCAGTTTGAAAGCACCAAATACGGGTCTATCTTTATACTCTTCTTAAATTCCAGAAGCGCATCTTTATCTGTTTTAAGGGAATGTTGAGGACACACATGGACAAAGAACATGAAGAACACAAAGAAGAAGAAAAAGGAGAAGATTTTTATCTGGAAGAACATTTTGGAAGCTCCACACTGCGTAAAGGTAATATCTCTTTGGTGCTTTTGCCTACATCTGAGATAGTGAAATAGTGTTTAAATGCTGAATGGGTGTTTCTGTTAAAGTCCCTTTT